TTTAGAGTTTTATCTTACCCATCAATTTATTGACATTTTGTTTCTGTAGGTGGCCAATGAAATGCCATTTGATCTCAGGACACGAAGACAGAATCTGAAGAGAAAAAAGTAATCATCATTGACTCAGATTTCATGAAGGCCTTGTCAGCTCAAACACCTTGCACACTCCCTGTCTTCCGCATCTATGCTCAGTTTCTTAAATGTAATAGACCAGTATCACCATCTCTAGCCAGCCTCCTAAAGAGGTAAAACGATACTGAGAAAAAAAATCTAAGGTTTCTGTTCCGTTTCTCTTCCTTGTTCCCATGAACTCCTCCATCTTTCAGCTATCACCCATCAAAGATGAACTGGTTTAAGTTTTCAAGTTTCAAAAGGACTCAAGATTATAGCAAGTCCCTAAAACCACCGTTTCCAAAGAGCCACAAATGAGAAAACTATGGTCTCAATAAAGAAAGAAAATCTAGCTGAGAGTTATTTGGGGCTCAAAGTAAAAGCAGACAATTCTACCCTCCGCCCAACCTCCTGCTCTAAAACTCAGCCACCAACATGGGTCAAACTGAAGAGCCGAGGTTTAAATAAAAACTAAAGAATTCAGCTATCCACTTACTTTAGGATTTGATGCTTTTTCTAGCAGTTCCTGAACCTAAAAGGTAAAAACAGAACAAATCAGAAGCCTGGCAATCATGATGCTTCCAAAGGCGCTTGGGAAAGGGGGTCTTACATAGTTCTCTCCAAAAGTGCGCTGGCCATGATTGTAGGCCTCGATCACCATGTCTGCAGGCTTGGTTTTGCTGACTGCTACCAGCCGGGGCTGGATGGCTGGGAGATCCTGCCAACAAGGAAAGAGCCACATGAATAAGTCCCATAGGATAGATCTCAACTTGGCATTCAGTAAGATTCATTTTTCTGATACTGCAGGCGGATCAGTATCAAATTGTGGTGATCAAATGTCTTTTGCATGCATGGAATCTCAATCTAACATGTTAGCCACCTTCACATCTAACAGAGTACATTTCTCTTAGGAGAGTCAGGCAAGTTAAAGCAGTTATTTTCCTAGAGCGTGGTCTTTCACCAACTGCACCACCTGGGGTGTCACTCCAGACCCCCTGAACCTGAATCTCTGGGGCTGGGGTCCAAGAATCCTCCTTTTAACAAGCTTTCTAGATGATTTTCACGCATACCAGTATTAGAGGTTTAAACATCACTTTATTAGAGAAGGCCTCCCTCATTAGATGGGAGGCCACTTCTGGCTTCTGAAACCCTAAGGTCAACAGTTTTAAAAACTCATTCTAGGCTGGGCATGGTGGCTCATGCCTGTAATCCTAGCACTCCGGAATGCCAA